ATACAGGATTTTTCCATCTATAAAATGTGAATTTCACCTTTCCTCCTTAGGGCAACTATGAGGGTTAAGAAAACAGTAACAAAACAAATGCACCAACCAGAAGGGACAGCATGGAATAACTGACACATTCAGTCACCACCCCTGACCTAGAGCACCACCAGGCACTTCATCTGAGCCACAAGGCAATGCAATCCAGTTTTTTTGTTTTTCTTTTTTTAGAACATTGGTTGGTGTTTTGCCTGTTTATACGTCTGTGTAAAGGTGTTGGATCCCCTAGAATTGGAATTACAACTGACGGGTGTAGCTGCCATGTGGGTGCTTGGCATTAAACCAGGGTCATCTGGACGAGAAACCAGTGAGTGCCCTTGACCACTGAGTCATCTCTCCAGCCCAGAAGTCCAGTTTTTGTGAAGGAGGATTCTTGTTTCTGGAGAGTTCACCTTGAAGAACAATAGAATCAAACAGCTGGCTTTAACTTAAGAGACTATCAAGAAACCCTTTAATACAGTTCTCATGCTGTGGTGACCCCCCCTTCCCCAATCATAAAATTATTTTCTTTGCTTCTTCATAACTGTAATTTTGCCATTATGAATTGTTTTTTGGTTTTTTGTTTTGCTTTGTTTTTTTGTTTTGTTTTTTGTTGGTTTTTCAAGACAGGGTTTCTCTGTGTAGTTCTGGCTGTCCTGGAACTCACTCTGTAGACCAGGCTGGCCTCGAAATCAGAAATCCGCCTGCCTCTGCCTCTGCCTCTCAAGTGTTGGGATTAAAGGCGTGCGCCACCACCACCCGGCGCCATTATGAATTGTAATAAAACTGATTTCTGGTAGTCTTAGGCAACCCTTGTGAAAGGGTCACCTGACTCCCCAACAGGTTGAGAACAGATGGTACAGTCATCCAAGTACCCCAGGAGAAAGCAAAGACCACACCTCTGCCCATGGAGTCCCTCCCTGCAGCTTCCTACCCACAGCTCAGCTGGCCATATACATCCACAAAGCAATAGCCTTCCAAAGTGCTCCAGGCCCTTAAGAGAAATCCCCACCTCCATTCTCTAGGTCCAAACTCCATTTACACCTTCACTGTCCTGAACATACCTGTCACATCCCATGATGACATCCTGTTGGGCCCCATACTACCAGTAGTAGACCCTAACCTGACAAAGCAGCCTCACCAGGTGGTTCCTGGCCCTAGGGAAGCTCTTCTTTTCTTTTTTTTTTTTTTGGTTTTTTGAGACAGGGTTTCTCTGTGGAGCCCTGGCTGTCCTGGAACTCACTCTGTAGACCAGGCTGGCCTCGAACTCAGAAATCCACCTGCCTCTGCCTCCCAAGTGCTGGGATTAAAGGCGTGCGCCACCACCGCCCGGCTTTTTTTTTTTTTTTTTTTGGGGGAAGCTCTTCTTTTCAATGTGCCCACATCCTGTGCCTCAACAAAGGGTGAAGAATGCCTTTTTTTAAAAGCCTCACTATGATACCCAGACTAGGCTCAAATTCCTGGACCCAAGCAATCCTCTGCCCCTAGCCCACTGAGTAGCAGCTAGACAGGTGTACTTCATGCCCAGCTTACATGAGTTACTCCAGCTTTTGCTCTCTGTACACAGAACTCTAGAGACCCTCTCAGAGTGTGGCAGTGTACCTTTGCCAGTGTTCTCTTGTCATCTTCTGGACGAGGAAAGAGCTGATGCCAGGATGCACTTACTACAGGTCAGTCCCGTCTGTCAGTGAGTAACCCTGCCTACTCACTCATAACGAGCTAGACCATTAGAGGAACACAGCTCTCTCCCTTAGAACCTACTAAGAACCTGTCAGATGCCTGCTGTCAGCATTGGCACCAAAGAACACTGGCGAGTCAGATCCTACTCTGCTCTCATACAGCCCCGGTCCTAGCAAGGGACAACCGACAACACCCAAGAAGCATGAGAAAAATGGGAAAGTTTGAGGGTGAGGGGTGGGCGCAGGCACACCAAAGAGAATGAGTCAGGGAGGCCTCACTAATGAAGGGACATCTGAACTGAGACAAGCAGCAAGAAGCAACAGCAGGGACAAAGTAACTGTTAACCTATTTAAGGCGTGAATAAGTGGACAGCATGACTGAAGATCAGGAACATAGGAAGGATAGTTGCTGAGGAAGCTCCAAGGAAGGAAAGCCTGGGTACTGAGTCTGGAATAAAGAGGCTGGATTAATCCAAATAAAAGAATGTACTGGGGAGTCAAGCACAGTGGTGCACACCTTTAATCCCAGCACCTGGGAGGCAGACACGACGATCTCTATGAGTTCTAGGCTTGCCTGGTCTACTTGGTGAGTTCCAGAACAGTCAGAGTTAGAGAGACTCTGACTCAAAAACTAAACCAAACAAAACTAATGCCGAGAATCTAGAAGCAAGGACTGACATGATTTGAGGAGACCCTAAAAATGACCCCATAAATGGCAGGATTCCAAAAGCACTGTCAAGATTTGGCCTGTAGCCAGTTCAAGAAGGCAAGGCACAATATTAAACAGACCCTGAGGACAAGTGAGAGGTAACTTCCAGCACCAGCCCTGTGTACTTAACCTGCCAGACTTGTCTCCACATCTGAAAACCAGAGTGATGCTTCTCCACAGAGCACTGCCCAGTCACAAGGTCCTGGTCACAGGCCTGAGCCACAGCAGGCACTCAAGCAGGTGCATGCTTCTCTTCAAAAGGAAACATTTTCCTGGTCCCCAAGAAGGAAGGTAGTGATGAGACCTTAAGAAAGTATGGTCTCATCACTCCAGTGAGGTCTGGCCACATTTTAAAACCAAAAAAGGGACATTTTTCTCAAGGTGTGAAGCAAGAAGAGCAACAACAGGCTACAAGAGCACAAATCCCCTTGTACGGTTGTATAGTCTCAGCCAAAACACCAGTGCTTGGGCTGCAGCCATTTGATGACATACACCAGGCTTTTGCCACACAAAGGTTCTATGTAAATGTACATATTAGAAGGGGTGGGCAGGAATTCAGGAAACTGGGTGGCATGGAAAGGTCCCAGCTTGGGAGGCATGGAAGCCTTGACAGCTGCCTTCTTTAGTGGCTACACTATAAACACGCTTCCTGCAAAGTCTGTCCAAGAAGAGAAATATTTGAGAAGACCCATGCCAGAAAGTAGCTGCATGGTCACCATTATTCACTAGTGATGTAAGATCCAGAACAAAGTTCAAAGGGCACAGAGCTAGTAAGGAAAAAAGCTTCAAACCCAATTCTGTACACCTCTAAAAGAATGTCTATCCTTCTGCCCTGGCCTAGATTTTAGATATCTCTCCCCTTACAGTTGGGCTACATCCAATACTGTTACTGTAGGTTCACAATATACTAAGCTAAAAAATACAATGAATACACAGAAACGCTGGACCTGCCAGCTCAGCAACCAGAGTTGGGTACACAGAGATTTGCACTCTGGACCTCAGAGCTGACTAGGAGTTGCAGCTTGCTGCATTGCTCAGTGTCATGAGAACCAACCATGTCACAAACTCTACTTAAGGTCAAAACTCTACTGAACTTGTACCATTACACACCATCATAAAGATGAAAAATCATTAAAGTTATTACACGTCAGATTCTGTATTTTTTTCTTCTTCTTCTTTGCAATTCCGGGGATAGGACGTAGAGCATCCTGCACACTAAGCAGGTACTCCATCACTGAGGGACATGCCAACCCCACTTTCTAGTTTCTACCCTATATCTATTCTCCTTCGCCAATTTACACTAGCTTAGAGTATATTTCCTAAAAAGTTTTTGAATATGACCAGTCAGAATTTAGTGGAAGTTTTTAGTTTGCTTGTTTACTGTGTGGCCCTTGATAGTCTTTAGTGAGCCCTGGATTGGATAGAGACTGTGCAAGAGTGACTCTAACAGTTAAGTCTCCATTTCCACTTCAATGAAACAGGGAAACAGTCTCAGACTGCCTGTAACATGGAAAAACGGAGGCCACAAAGCCGGAAGAACTGAACTCATCACATAGCTGGAATGATCAGGGACTAATGAACCACCTGCCCACAGCCTTACAGAGTACTGCTGGAAAGAAACCCGGGGCAAAAGGGCAAGCAGGAGATGGGTCACTGGAGCTACAGCAGGTAGACTAGACTCTGCCATACCTCCTTTGTGCTGGGTGCTTACAAACAGGTTATGAGGTCCTGTCCCTAGACTTAAGTATAGTTAAATGGGTCTGCAAAAGGAATTTTAAAAGATGGAAGAACAGTTTTATGTAGATGAAAGGGAGGGGTCGAGTTGACAAAGAAGGGTAGTTACAAGACCTTTTATTTATAACGTCCTATTCCTAAGTGGCCTGTATTTAAAGACTAATTAAGTGGTACAGATTCTAGGAGCAGATGTTAGCAGTTGTCATCATGACTGAAAGCACATATGCCCTTTGACTTAGCCAGTTCACACATAACTTATCCTGTTACACTAGCCTTCTGGACTAGAGTATTATTCACTGCAGCATGAATAGCCAACTCTGGAAAAGTCACAAAGGTCCGACAAGAAAATGTCGGTATGATGATTTGTGTATAAAGGGGGGTGGGGTGGGGATAAGATCCTGAGAGAGCCTAGAACACTTGCCTCTTATCAAGGCACTAGGCTCTACCTCCTAACCCAACCTACCCCAAGGATTACAACAGAAGAAAAAACAGGATCTTTCATTTCTGCACATTGTCTGCGTTTCTGTGAACGTTTCCTGAAATCATCCATACACAGGAAACTGAGAGCAGTGTTCAGGACAGAGAACCAGGAGACCAAAGGTCAGGTGAGTAGTGACTTTTTTTTTTTTTTTGAAACTTGTGTACACCCTTTTTGTAGGGTTTGTTTCTTTGTATCATTTTTCTAGGAAAGCATCTCGCTGCACCGCAGTGAAGGTGGGAACTGTGTCCGCATCTGCGGGCTCTGAGTTCGAGCCCCCAAGCCTCCCGGGCTGGCGGCCAGGCCTAGCAGTCAGACCACCATTCCGCGAGCTCGGACCCCGAGCCCGGCTCCCGCCCCGGCCCGCGCTCACCGCCAATGATGGTCCGGATGAGGGAGGCGTGCCCGGGGCAGTCGACCAGCGTGACCTGCAGCAGCGTGTCACTAGTCCCGGGTTCAGCGCCCTGCAGCGGCACGACAAAACAGGAGAAGCCCAGATCGAGCGTTATGCCCCGCTCGCGGCTCTGCGGCTGCTTGTCGAAGGCAGCGGTGGAGGCCGTAGTGCTCAGTGCCCGCGCCAGGGCTGTCTTGCCGCTGTCGATATGACCCAGCACGCCCACATTCACATTTACCCGCCGGCCCGCCATCCCGCCGCCGCTTCTCACGCCGTCGCCTGAGCGCCAGCCCCCGCGGTCCGCCTGCTAAGCCGCACCCCCCCGCAACCCGCGCCTAGCGCGCCGGTTCCGGCACGGAAGCTTCCGCCCTCGGGCGCCCATTGCGCTATAGCAGAGCGCACACAGGGCGGGACAGGACCCTGACTGCTACCTGGGGTTGCGGTCATCCGGCACCCCACCCCACAAAGTCTTGGCAGTCTGAAATTAGGGATCCCTCCTTCAATCCACCCATCCATTCTTCCCTCCCTCCTTCCATCATTACACTCACCCATCTGTCACACACCCTTCTTCCATCCACACATCCCTTCCTCCATACCTCCATACACACTCATCCATTCGTCCATTCATTTCTGTCAGCCTTTATTAAGTACAAGTACTTAATAAAGTATAAAGGTGTATAAGTACAGACTGTATACACCTCACTGGGATGTGGTGATAGACATTATTTGCTGTGAAAACAGGAGTGAGTAAAACCCACAATCAGTGGTCAAGCCAGACTATCAGGGAAAGGACAGAGATGGGAAAGCGGGGAGCCTATTGAGGCTCAGGGAAGACCCTCAAACACTGTCACTAGAAGTTCAATGCAGAGCCTGGCAGTGGTGGTGCACGCCTTTAATCCCAGCACTTGGGAGGCAGAGACAGGCAGATTTCTGAGTTCAAGGCCAGCCTGGTCTACAGAGTGAGTTCCAGGACAGCCAGGGCTACACAGAGAAATCCTGTCTCAAACCCTCCCCCCACACACACACACACAAAAAGTCCAATACAGACTGCCCATCAGAAACCTGGAAGCACTGTGAAAAGATGGGAGAGGGTCTCGTTGATTCAGAGTAGGGGGACAAAAACCTCACTCTGGAGTCTAGGCCAGCATGAGGAGCTGCAAGTTAACTGTTGTGTGTGAACTTAAAATGTGTGATGAGCGTTATAACAACCACCCTATGTAACTCCCTTCAGGTATTGAAAGGTGTCTAGAACCATGAAACTCCGAAACCATGAAGGAAAACTAAAGTCTCTTTCTTTCTTTGTCTGTATAGGTGTTTCATCACAACGATACAGTCCAACATAAAGCCTGACTTCAGAGAGCTGACAAATATTTTAGCTTTTGTTGATAAAATTCCATCCTGAGACGAGAAGTGAATGACATCTACCCCTGTTCCTAAGGTTCCAAGGACAAATCAAAGAGGCAGTACAACGATGGTTCATTCTAAGATTGAGTTTATTCAGCTTACTTATAAGTATGGGTGAGAGGTTAAGAGTGTTGACCACCTCAGAGCAGCTGTACTGGAAAGTCTTCTCATATCATAAACTATGGCTTCCCCTTCTTCCTCCTAATCTACACTAACCCATATACTCTACCTTCCTCCCTGCAGTCCTGAGGCCACGTGCAATTAGGCCTGAATACACATGGCTTGGAGGAGTGGCCAGACTCTCAGGTGAGGCCTCCTCTTAGGAAGGAATGTCATCGGTCCACAGGCCTGATCATGATGAACTTTGGAAAGTAGGCACAGCTGGTCTCATGAAGATGGCGGCAGTTTTGCTCAGATGCTGGCCAAGCTTAAAGTTCACTGACTCCTACTGGACAGCCAGTTTGCCTCTGTGATGAGCCAGGAATGAGTGTTCACAGGAAGTAGCCCCAATGGCCCTGGGGATCAAGACTCTACACTGGAGTCCCTGCCATGGACCGAACTGCATCCTCCACAGGAGCTGAGGCTTTGATGCCCACCCCCAAGCATGTGATAGCATTTGAGGCTTTGATGCCCACCCCCCATGCATGTGATAGCATTTGGAGATGGGTCATTAGAACTAAACGGGTCACAAGAGTGGGGTCCTAGTATGAATTAGTGCTCCCAAAATTTGCGTCTCCATTTTTCTGTCTTCCAAATAGGAAACAACAAGAAACTACCATCTGTTTGTTTAAAACCCAATGATAAAGCAGTGGGCATCTTTAGGAGGGAGCTTAGCAGACAGGTCACAAGAGTTTTAGAGGACATTCCAAATAACAAAATGTTCTTAATGGGACCTGGCATCCATCATTAAACGTCACTGCCTACCTCTGATCTACATAAAATCCCGACAGACAGTAAAAATCAAGCATCTTAAATTTAAAAGTCCAAAATACAACAAAATCTGAAGATTTCTGAGCTCTGACATGATACCACAAGTAGAAAATTCCACACCTGACTTCATGTGACAGGCAAGAGTCAAAACATGAGGACATTGAAGCTGGCATGTAAGATGAGCCTCAGATTCCATACACAAAGGGCTTAGGAGACAATGAGCTTCCTGTCCAGACTTGAGTCCCACCTCTGAGCGATCACATTACGTGTGTGCAAGAATTCTAAAACATGAGGGGAAAACCTGAAATCTCCAATGCTGCTGGTCCCAGGCAGTTCAGGTGAGATGTATTAAACCTGAATCGAAAGGAACTGGGCCTGAGAACACATGCCTGGAATCCCAGCACCCAAGAAGTGACAACCCCAGAACCCAGGAAGTGACAGCACATACCTGGAACCCCAGCACCCAAGAAGCAGGAACAGGTTGGAAGTCTGAGGTTAACTTGAGCTACCTATCCTATCCACTTTGTCGAAATAAACCAAGAGCTAGGCATGTATGTCATCAATGGCGCGGAGTGCTCCCCTGTTACACACAGAGAGCACAACAAATTTAGGTTTTTAAAGCTTTAATGTAATATTGACTTCAGACTCCATAATGAACTTCATGTGTTTAATTTTTAAAATATTTTCAGATATTCTTTATTATATGCCTGTGACTATTTTACTTGAATGTATACCTGCAGCATGTGCATTCTTGGTGTCCACAGAGGTCAGAAGGCATCGCTTTCCCTGGAGCAGAAGTTATGGATGGTTGTGAGCCACCATGTGGGTGTCAGAACCAATCCCAGGTCCTCCACAAGAGCAGCAAGGGCTCTTAATCACTGAGCCATCTCTCCAGCCCCTCGTGGGTTGACTTTTGAAGTAATGACCCATCTTTGGGACAACTCTGAGCCTCAGGGGAAACAGTTTGTGCTTACAGCAGGACAGGAAGAAGGGAGAGGGGCAGTCGTTGAACCTGGTATTTATAAAGGGGTGGGTACAGATGTGGAGAGGAATGACAGCCATGGGTATGAGAGGGTTCCTGTTGGTGGACATCTCCCCTAAACTGGAATAGAACTCAGAGGCATGGTTGTGACAGCCTGAGACAGAGGAGAGTAGAAAGTGCTGGCAGGCGGGTTTAAGGATGGAATGAGAGGGAAGGGGCATGGATTTCAAACTTACTGTCTCAGAGGCAAAACCATCTTTGGCGGACAAAGCCTACAGGATGATAAGAGTGCCTCTGAGGGTAGGAGTAGACTGGAAGTTAACTAGGAGTCTTGAAGGCCTTTTCTGAGGTAATTAGAATATTCTGAACCTTGATAAAGCTTTACATTTTACCAGTGTATGTATAATCAACATGCAGTCAGTATATACTTCAGATCTGTGCATTATGGAAATTCTATACCCCCCCCCTCAAAAAATCCCCTAAAAACCAATGTTGAATTCAGGGGTGGCATGTATGCTGCGGTACTCAGGAGGAAGGGTGCTACTTCTGACACTTATTTTAAAATGTACCAGAGAGCTGGGTGGTGGTGGCGCACGCCTTTAATCCCAGCACTCGGGAGGCAGAGGCAGGTGGATTTCTGAGTTCGAGGCCAGCCTGGTCTACAGAGTGAGTTCCAGGACAGCCAGGGCTACACAGAGAAACCATGTCTCAAAAAAACAAAAATAAATAAATAAATAAATAAATAAATAAATAAAATAAATGTGGTCCCAGGGCCTTGGAGGCTTAAGAAGAGGATGGCTTGAATCCAGGAGTTCAAAGCCAATCTGGATGAGATAGTCAAACTCCATAAAACACAAGTAAGCAGCATAGATTGGGGCTGAGCTCATGGTAGAGTGCTCGCCTAGACGGGGGCTCCCTGTCTAGGGATGTATATGTGTAAGGTAGACAAGCTAAATGGGATTGGTAGGGTCCATGTGAGGCTTGCTCAATCCTGTCTGCTGGTGGGATTTAGAATCACCTAAGAGACACACTTCTGCATGTTTGGAGATGGTTTTACTATACTATTCCACGGGCCGAGTCCTTGGACTAAATAGACTATGGAAAGTGAGTGACACAGCATTCTCCTCTCTGCCTGTGATGCAATGTAACCAAGACTCCCATTCTGCTGTGCCTTTCCTGACTGTACCCTCACACAGTAAACCAAAATAAACTCTTCCTTCCCTAAGTCACCTTTGTCAAGGGCCTTGTGGCAGCTATGGGGAAAACACAAAGGCAGGCATGTGATGTCAAGTTCTTAAACTTAACATGCTTTTGAACATTTAATACTAGATATTGGGAAGAATGGAAGGCAATCTGAACCTTAAAACAGTCAGTTCTTCAGGCTTGTAGCCAGATTTCCAAAATCCAAAATGCTCTGAAAATAGCAAGTGTCTTCCCAAGCTGTTGGAAACTTATCGAGTCCTGCACTGAGAGGCTGGCTCATGCTGTGTCTGATTGTCAGGACCCATGCTTCCTGCAGACACAGAGGTAGTGCAAGACATTGCCCCTCTGTCACATGGGAGGTATGTGGGAAGTAGATAGCTACCCTCTGGATCTTCCCTTGTGTCTAAAGAATTGTGAGTTCTGGGCTGTTTGGTCCTAGGAATTTTGAGTAAGAGAATGGGACTCCCAAAGATTCCCTACTGCCAGGACATTGTGACTTGTTGGATGTGGGGTGATGAATGGACCTTGGGTGATCCTTGTTATAGATGGGACATCTTCCCCAAAGACCCATGTGCCAAACGCTTGGTCTCAGCCTGGACATTCTTAGGAGATGATAGAATCTCTTCTGTATGGGACCTTATTGGAGAAGGTGAGGTCCTTGGAGTGTGCCCTTGAGACTCCAGCTTCTTCCTCCTCTCAGGAAGGAGGTAAGCAGCTTTCTTTGCCACCAGCTCCTGCCACAACATGCTATCTCACTGAAGGCTCCACAGTAATGGGGCCAACTGATCATGAGTG